AATTCTCTCACCTCTGCCTCCCAAAGTGCTGGGATTACAGGTGTAAGTCACCACACCCAGCCCAGATGCCAACGACTTTATTTACAGGCTTAGAACTGTTAAACCTAAGCCAAGCCTCTTCCTTTCTGATTTCTCCAACCTTATCTCCCTCTGGTTTCTTACATATGCCCTTTGCTCTACTTACTAATTCTGAACATTCCTGGAACTTTCCCGCATCCATGCCTCTGCTTAGATTTCTTTGGACATCTTTCATCCTACCTGTCCTTTGAGGCCTAACTTAAATGTTTCTATTCTCAGTCGGGCTCGGTGGCTCAGCCTGTAATCCCACGCCTTGGGAGGCTGAGGTGAGTGGATTGCCTGAGCCCGTGGGTTCAAGACCTGCCTGGGCAACTTGGTGAGACCTCATCTCTACAATAAATAAAAAATCAGCTGGGCGTGATAGCGCGCACCTGTAGTTCCAGCTACTTGGAAGGCTGAGGCGTGAGGATCGCCAGAGCCCAGCAAGTAGAGGCTGCCGTGGCTGGGAGCAGCCACTGCACTCCAGTCTGGGCGACAGAGTGAGACTTCAACTCAAAAAATAAAAAATAAAAATAAAAAAAATGTTTCTATTCTCCATGAAGTCTTTCTAGATTCATCATGTTCTCCTGAATTCCCTCTCTTCTCTACTCCCCAGGCATGGAATGTGCAACCTAGGGAACTTGGGTGATTTTCTGCCAGGTACCATCGTTATCTGTATACCTGTCTGTTTCCCTCACAAGGACCTCCTTGAGAGCATCTTTGCAGATTCATGGTGCGTGGCACATAGTAGGACTTAGTCACTGCTAGGTGGTTAAGTGAATGAAATATTGTAGAGGTGGCTGTCTTTCCTGTCTCTGTTCTTAGACATTTCCAGTGCTGGTATATGAAGGGAGGGAGAAATAAGAGAGAAAGAGGGAGGGTGCAAGCTGGGTTCCCTTTGTCTGAAGTGCTATTGCAGGCCAGCAGGAACGTTGGTCACTGTCTAGGTGTACTGGGAGGGAAAGACAAAGGGCAGGGGAAGAGAGGACTAGCATCCTATGCAGCCAAGTCTGGCCCCAAGTGAGTCACCACTGGGATTCACACCTAGAAATTGTTAAGTATGAATCACTCCTAGGAAGGTGAAGAGGTATTTGCTTTTCTAGCAAAATGTCCTCACTTCCTTTCCATTGCTTAAGAATTGGTGACCTCCATGGGGAATGGGAGACATGGCAGGCTGACCTAGGAATAGATGCTCAGCAACCTTCTCCCCATTTTAAACATGAAGGCAGAGAAGGAAAATACCAGATCAGATCTAGGCTGATAGGGAATCTTAGAAGTCTGATGAGAGAGGCTCACCCTTGATCTCAGGGAATCTTACTTTGACAAGAGGGACAGTAAGATCAGCCCTCCAAAGACTTTTTTCTTCCTAATGGCACCATAGTTTCCCGACAGCTACTTTTCCATCTTTTTCTCTGCTCCTTCTTCCACTTCCTATCTATCGGTGTTCCAAAGAGTTCCATCCTCAGAAATTTTAGTCCACTCAATTTTCCATTCTTCTAGCTTATCCTGGAAGAAGGTGATGTGGGTCAAAAACCCTTAAAGTCATCCTGTGTTCCTTTCTTTTTTTTTTTTTTTTTTT